TCGCAGCTGCCCTGTTCTCGCGTGACTAATAGTCTTGAGTTTGAAGGCCGCATCGTAAGCCTGTCTCCTGACAGGTGCCATTTTGGGGTCCATACACGCACATACTGTAATAGTATAGTGAAGCACGGTATATATTACTTCGAGACTCCTGACTACGGGTTAAGGCAGCGCCGTGTACCACACAAAATCGATTCGTGGTCAGTCACCAGAAATAATCGATATATAAAGCGCACTACTGTTCCTGAGAAAATTAAAGGCTATCAAGTGTGCCTTATAGTCCGGAAAATGCGGCACTTGCCTCCAATAGGTCATCCTGCAGGAGAGACCAGCTTGGCCTGTTTGTTCCGTGGTCTTATTTCTATCCTTCGTAGATGCAATTCTTTCTGACCGGTGACCTTTTCTGTCGTGCAGCAGTTCTTGTGCATACAGGTAGCTTCACCACAAATCATCTGGCTGTACCCGCTGCAGCGGACACGTTTTGGTCGAATCAGCAATGTGGGGTACTTTTTTCGTCTTCTCGTGTGTTATCAGGTTGGGGAGAACAGGGGAAGGTGGACAGAAGGGGGTTGACTTGGCTCCCCTGAAGAACCGTCAATACCTTCAAAATGGCTGCTTATCCTATTCGGGCCCAGTTTCTTTCCCTACAATCTGCAAAGTAAGAAACCGGAATTGCTCCTTTTCATTCGGCAGTCGCTGTAGATTGTTAAACGGCACGCCTGTGTGACTCAAGCCCAGACCTCAAGTCTTCGCGACCCATCCGTCAGATATGGCTGGTAAATAAGCCAGAAATATTCACGGGTAAGACACGAAATTAGGGCACCCCGTGTACCTTCTCTTTGTCGGCGAATATTCATCTGCATACCCTATCTATACAGGCAGCTGAATCTTGCAAACTTCCTTGTTTCCGTCATCAAAGTGGTCCGCGGACTGTTCCGACTGGACTTAATTTATTCCGTCGTGCCGCCTGTCTCGTATGATAACTTTGTCCGACGCACGAACCCCGACCGGTCTGTGTTGTTAAGTCACTTTTACCCTGCCTGCTGACCTGCTGGCTGGCTGACGTTTTCCTTCGGTCTGTCCTCGCAACCGCCCTAGTTGGCACAAAGTACAGACTGCTTGATGACTGTCTGCTGTATGCGGGTTGAGTGCCTCTGAAAACTGGAACACTTCGTCGTCTCTTTCTAGTCGGCCTTCCTGAAGTGTGAGGCAAACCAGTCGCGCAAAAGGTCCATGTCGCCATACCTGTCAAGTTTATTGCTGCAGCTTAAACTTGCATGGTCATTTCTGAGTTCTCTTAGATCGAATTCAGCCCAATACACTGACGATAATGGAGAAGCAGAGCAGGTGCCATACCCACTGTTCCATTTCGGAGTCAGTGGTTATCCGCAGGGCCTTTACCTGTGAGCTGTCGGCTGAATATACATGCGTTCAGACCGAAGGCCTCGATGCTGGCAACAGAGCTGTCAGAAGTATTTCCTATAATTTCTTGCTGACATTGCGGCGCGAAATATGTTGGTCAGATAGGAAAACGCCTTTGCGTTGGATTGCGCGAGCAAGAGAAAACTTGCTTTTGTCGATGGCCGCCTACAGTTTCGGCCTGAACGTTGGGGTCATCTACTGCGCCAATGAGAGTAGATAACCAGCATGGTGCGTCCCCCGACTGGCTCACTTGGCTGAACCGTTGCCCTGTATCCCGCCCACCAGGTGCTGCACATCAACCTGGACAGGGCCAAGTGAGCCAAGTCATGCAGTCATAACGGCTGGCGTCCACGGTGAATGAAGAAAGAGCCACAGGTCACTTGGATAGCGTACAACTGCTGTATTTGCCACTCCAAATCCCCCAATCACGGAATGGTCAAGGTTGATCAGTATCAAACAAGCATATCAGGGTTCTCGCGTTGGATATGGTGACCTTATAGCCACCAATTATGGAATTCAAGCTAAATCAGTACCCCTTGCACTGCAGTGCTTGTCGATAAATTTGCAATTCACCGTGTTTTCTTCTTTCGAGAAACCCTTTCCGCTTTTTTATATTCTGGATGCTTCTTCTGCTGAAGCTCTGTTTCGTGCTACAATTACGCTAGGTTGAGGAGCGCAACTGCCACTTGCCTGTAACGTAACCCAAAACCAAATGCAAGCACACGTATCCTCTAGTTTAAACTGCGCCGGAGAGAATGTCACACCTACTGAATTCTTCCGACGCCTTTTTCCACAGTTTCTCCTTCCGTTTTTGTGACTGTTTAACACTCGCGCCTACCAAGTGCAGTTTAGATCCCTGGCGTCTTCTGCAGTTTTGCTTTGCAGTAAAGTATTCAGTGTTTTTATTGCGTCGACGCTCATTCAGATGGACAGCCTATGGCAAGGCTTGCTTACTGAGGTTAATGTTCGTATTTCAGATCAGTATAAGAAGAGGAAGGTTGTTGGTTCGCCAGAATCTTGTCCTTATTCATAGGAGCTTTCAAACTCGTCCGGGAGTCCATCGTCAGAGATAAAACCGGCTACGGACGCAGGGGCCAATCAAAAACCAGTAACATCAGTGTGAAGCTGACGGCACAGAGCCCTGCACGCCGGCGCCATATCGTTATATCGATTGACTGAGTTATCATCGCGGGCCCAGGCTTCACTCGGTTCCCGGCTTGTGGGCATGGGCGACTATCCCCGTGGCTGCGAAGATTACTTCCATGGTCCCCCTAAGATGGGCTATGGGAATAAGAACGGTCCGCCCAAGTAATAAAGATGGACTTGCGCATAATTCCATGAATGGTATTAGTGCCACTGCACCTGCGATCGCTGTAACAAGAAGTTTATTTGCCGGACGTTTCGGCCTACGGTTTGAACTCATCATCAGAGATAACCGTAATCTTAAACCCAAGCCACCTGTATTGTCAGCGGTTCCTATTCTCGCGTCCTGTTTAGTGGAGGGGGGGAGAGGAACATATAATGGTTACCCACAGTGTTACTTGCTGACTTTTGTCGATGCCTTAGATTTCTCTCCATCCGCGTGTTGCAGAGTTCGAACGAGCCAGGGCTTCAATCTGCTTATAAAATCAAACAAACCTAGCCGCCACTGAAGCGTGACGGGAACGGGGGGAGGACGGGAAATCGGGTGCGTCCAAAGCCTCTCTGTCCAGGAGTAAGCAACGGTCGATCCTCCACCCACCCTCGACCCAGACCGGGGCAGTTAGCCCCCTTTCCAACGGGTGAGCGGACATTTGTGCGCTGGACGATCGTTCAGATAAGTGGTTTTCGCGCCTCCAGAGATTACTTTTTAGGCAGTTGAACATTCCTTTTTGCCTTTGCCCACCTTCTCTTCCTCCGTCCTCAACCCGCATGCTAAATCAGATGCGCAAGCAGTCCTTGCGTCTAGGCCGCCTGGGTGGGCCTGTCAGTAAAGCATAACCGACCCCCTCCCCCCGACAC